CCTGAAGCAAGCGAGTTAAAGGAGTTTCGTCTAAAATAAATATAAAATCAGTAATGAATGATTTCAAACATGAGGATCAAATTGTTGCATCTATTTTAAATTCTGTTTCTTTCTACACTATTAACTAGTTTTCTCTATCTAAGCACGCTGACTTCTAATGACATTGTTCTTTTTAGCGTTGACATAAAAAATGTCGTTTAGCACAATTGCATGAAGAATCTTTTTACAATTCTACTTATTTATCTATATTGTTGGAATATAAACGAGTAAGGAAAAATTCAAAGGAAAATCTCTTACCAGTAAAGATGCGTAATGCAGTATTCTCTTCGATACCATGTAAACCAAGTCCATATAAGTTGGGATAACTTGTACAAAGAAGAATGCTTTCCATAGACGATGCTTCAACACCCAGCCATTCGATTCTATGACGAATCGAAGGCAAAATTTGTAAACAAAACCGTTCAAGTTTTTGGTTATCTAATCGATCAAATAAGCCATCATCTATAAACCTTTTGCCAGTGTTAGACGATTTCTAAAAATTGAATCATGCACAAGTCTAGTAAATCGTTGATTAACACCTAGAAATGAGTAGAGCACTTCAGCTTTGTCCAGTTTTTAAAAAATAAGAAGAACAATCTCATCAGATAAACCATTTAGCTCCACCGATGAACCTTGCATGTTTAACTTCACTTATCGATTTATTTTCATTTATATAGATTTATTCAATTTGACCGATTTCCGTCAATGAAAACAATGACATAACATTTTTTCTCTTTCTGTTACTTACTATAGTGGCAAACATGAATGCCGTTTATAATAAATCTAATAGAATAAACAATATGGCATTATGCTAAAAAAAACTGTATCTTGAAAAGTAAAATATGATTGTTTATTTTAATTTCCATAAAATATACTAAAAATGAATATTTGACATCTGTTTGCATTTTTTTCCTTAGATTTCCTTGTTTACAAAATAATTGTATCNATTGGTATCGTTTGATTATAGGAAATCCTTCATCATAATTCTATATAAAATATATCTAATATTTCGATGATCTTAAAAGATTTGTTCATTATCGGAGTAATAAAATTAATTTAATGAGATCTAAAAGAAAAACGAAATCCAAAACTTTTTTTGAATATATTCTCATCCTAGTTACTTACTGCAATAATAAGCAAGAAAAGCAAGAAAATAAAATGGTTTCATGCAGAAAAAAAAGTATAGAGATACTCCCACGCTCGCCGCCGAATGTCCTGAAGATTTCAGCTTAGAAAAATACTTTCAGGAATCAAGAATGAAAGAAGAAAATAGAACGAACGTAGAATATTTTAGGTCATGATTCGAGTTTTTCCTGAATGGATCGGATTAAAGCAGTGATCAACTTAGATTACCTGCTCTCAGAGTAAATTAAATGAACAGTAGTATTGCACAGAGAGGCTTCGGATAAACGAACGTTTCACCACTCTTTAGAGATAAGACTATATCGATAGTTCGCAAAGATATAAAACAAAATCATTATTTGTTCCGTTGTTGTAATGGCATTATACTTTATTTTGCTCCTTCTCAAAACATGCTATCGTCTTGTTTACATGAAAAACACACATTTATAGGCACAGCCATGATTCATAATAGAAGGGTCTACGAAAATTTTGTAATAGAAGAACAAAAGCTTTTTCTTTAAAAGCAGCCCGAACCTTGTAGTGTAAAGCTGAAACTGTCACTAATTGCATTATCATGTTAATATTAGAGGAAAATAGTGGTTCGGACAAATAAACTAGGCATGAATAATAAACGAAAAGTAGTTTAGAACTTACGAAGAAGACTCTCTAATTATTTTAGCAACGTTGCCTGTTTTGAGAACGCGGTGACCACCTCAACCACATCCACCAACTGTCAATGAGATTTTTAGTGATTGAATCTAAATAAAAGGTCATCCAACAATCTACATCCAGCTATACACAATAGCTAATACGTTGGATACACTTATCACTACAGAAAGACATGGAAAATAGCATTGTTGAATTCTTACGCCAAAACTTGTATGATTGTTTATTATTTATCAAACAGGATCACCCATTTCAGTAGGGGATTAGCGACGCTTACGTCGCGTTACTTGTACATAAGATATAAACCAGCTGTTGCTTCAATCTATCACAATATTGAGACTAAAAACTGATTTGAATAGGCAAAAATATAGTTGTACGTATTTGTTCAATAAAATTTTCTTTTATAGAGAATTTTGATTTATCGGATAATGAGTATTGCATTGCCAAATGAAATTCGTATAAATGTAGCTAATGTTCTTATTAATATACCTTGAATAACCTATTACTAAGTTCATCATTATAAAATAAACAGACGAATATTTCATTATCATTTAATACGTTGTATTTTATTTATGGCAATCTTTCAATTATTTTCTATTAGATTAATTAACCTTTAACAGGTTGTCTCAAGAAGTTCGATATCTGTTTTCAACTTAGCATTTCGTATTACATTCAGTATTTTGTCTTCAGCTTCATAAGATTCATTACGAATAGATGAAGTAAGTAAATGAGTTGATGCTACTATGAATTATCAAAATCACGAACATCTTTTACAATTGATGAAATTACATGTAGAAATTCATGATTACTCCCCAGATTCGATGATCGAAAGAGTGATCTGTGTTTAATGTAAGACAATTAAATTGTTTTATTATATAAAAAAGAAAGATTCTAATGAATTACTAAAAACCTAGCCAATAAATTTTGATTGGAAGATTTTCCATTAAATATATCACATGGTTCTTAAAATATCTTAGAGACTTCAGCTGAAATGAATAACACTTTCGCTGAATACTCAATGTTGAGAAAAAGTCAATTTTTTTATTCTTCTTACGATACATAATGGTTTTCGAGTACTTGGAAGCTGAAGAAAGAAGTATCACCGTTATTTGAAACATTCAGATAGTTTTTGGACGAATCTACCGCTTGTGTGATGTCATTAATTTAATAGCATTCCCCGTTTGTTTTTATTAAACGAAATTCAATTACTTGTGCTTCATAGCGGTACATCTCTATTTCAATTAATTCATTGATCTTACGTGTTTCGTTGAAGAACTTCACATATCATAGCTGTATACAATCATGATTTCCTTTTAATCTTATTGTGCTTCATGCAGCTATGCTCACTCATCTTATCACCAAATCAAATAACTGACTGGTATCGACAAGTAACAATGGCTTGACTCAATACACAAAGTTTGGACAAGAAAAGAAAGATAAAACCTTCTTCAAATACAGCACGCACTACGCAAAAGATGCTCACTTTACAGGAGGATTTAATATATCATTATTGTAATACATTGAATTAAGATTATTAGTTCTAGTGAATAATCGAACACATTCAACGACGATAGGTGAGATAAGTAATAGACATGCATACGACAGTTCCAAAGAGTATTTGACAAATATGATTTTGTATTCGACGTATAAAATATCTTTGTAATTTCACTAT